ACGACGATTGAGCAGGGAGGAGAGCCATCCACCATTCGATTCACGGGCCTCCGGTTGTGGTTTGGATGCATTGGCAGCTGTACCGCGCTTTTGACCATTATTTCGATCCTGGTCAGGAAGACTATCGTCGGAAAGATATCCTGACAAGTTATTTCCAACGGTTCCGTCACGGCTAAAGCTAGACCTAGAGTAAGGAGGGCGTTCAGACGGTGTTTCGGGTTGTTTGTTTTGCGTAGTGCTTCCGGCGAGGGTGGTGCTAGACTGTTGGGTAAAGAGGGGCCTTCGCTGAGCACGGTTCACCGCCGCGGTGCTGGTGTTCTTGACATTCTTTTGATCAGAACGAATGGCCAGCAACAAGTCGATGAAACCTCGTTTCATCTCGATGGGATTGTTCCAGCTGCAATAGAGACCGTACAGGATGCAAAGGAATACCAATGCGAGCGCTGGGGCGTAAATGTACCAGAGAGTCTGACGATCGTAAATCCAGGCATTGCCCTCTTGAATCGTGATACCAGATATTTGAGTCTGGTCGAACGATAGCATGGCGCCCAACGTCGCATTAGCGAACAATTCTTCGAGGCTTGAGCCGAGACTGGGAACCTTGACCATGAGAGAGATGGTATTGGTCGTCGTATCGTTGGAAAACTCGATAATGTCTTCAAATTCGTAGAGGCCAGAGACATTGTTGATGATACCAGCGGCGGTCCATACCAAGGAGCCGTACAGAGGAGAGGTGAAGCCACTGACAAAGCCGACTGCGTTGGTGCCATACTTTTCACAGTCTCCCGATAGAGAACTATTGCAACCAGAGGCGTCCGAAGAAGCGGGTGCGGTCGACACGAAACGTTGGCCTTGGGCATACGAGAACGAGGCGCGATACGACTTGTCTTCGAATTGACAGAATTGACCAGCGACGGTTCCAGATTGGGTGACGGTGACGGGAATAAAGTCGGTGGTCAACATGACCATGGGGGCGTAGCTGAGACCAAAGTTGAGGGAATCACGACCCCATTGGAGGGACGCTTGCGATTGGTATGGGGCATCGTAAAAGGTCCAACCGTTGGCACTGTTGACGAGTGCCGAGTCATACGCCTGAATAGTGATTTCATCCTGGCGCATTTCACGGCAAGAGAGACCGGGTGCCTTGTACTCGATG